ATATATATATATATATATATATATATTATATATATATATATATTTATATATATATTGAATAGATTTCAATTTATTATATCGGCTATTACCGGGCCCGCCTGTAGTGTGCAAATTCAATTACAGATACAAAGGAATAAAAAAAATGGCAAATGCTATTCAAAGATTTAGAAGCGTGGGTGAAATCCCGCGCAATGAAATACTAATAGTTTTTACGGATTTGGATAAAAAATCAAATTGGGAGAAGAGAATTGTGTAAGTAATTTATTTAAATCCACTTTTTTATTCTTTAGGACATGTGCGTAATTAAAAAAATATTATATTTATAGTTTGGATGATGCATCCAAGAGACCGACCCGAATAGGAGAGGTCTTTTGGGCCAAATCTTTTCTACAGCATGCAGTTGGGCTGTGTGCCGTGTCCGCCACAGATTATGGTATATATTTCTTCTATATTATAGCATATACATACTTATACACATATATATATATATATATTATATATATATATATATATGAAGGTGATATATTATTTCAAAATCGCGTAAAAACTTTACACTTTTAATTTGAAAATTTTTATAGAAGCGTAATTTGTTATATTATTTACAGTTATACACAAAATCCATTATTACCATATTTTTATAACAGAGTTTGACATGACTGCAGAAAATTAAATCAAATTCGCTCCCGGACAACAAAACTATATCTCTTATGCCGGTAGAGTATGAGAATAGTGACGATGTGGGGCTATACTTCCATGAAATGTTTAAGGAGAAGGATATCCGAATATACTATCATGATAAGGTAATATTACATTTATATAATAATATATAAATACATTGATTGATATATTGAACAATCAGTTATTATAATATTAATAATTATTATTTTAGTCCGATGAAGCAAGTTGGGGCCCCACCGGTCCATCTTCGACGTATAGCGAAAGCGGCGAAGACGTAGCTTCAAAAGTTGGCACGGGCGGGGGTTACCGTGGCCGCGGTTATCATCGCGGCGGTGGACGTGGCGGCGGTAATTATCGCGGCGGTCGACAAGACGGCTGTCGACGTGGCGGCTATAAACATCGCGGCGGTCGTCGTGGCGGCGGCGGCGCTCGATATCGCGGCGGTGGCTACTATCGCGGCGGCAGAAATTATGATCGCGCCATCTTCATTTATTGAATTTTTTATAATTAATAAATAATAAATTAAACAAGTTATTATTTTTATTTGTTTTATCCTTCTATACATGTTCTATATTATGATTCATGTTGTAAATTATATATATATATATATATCATATAGTTTTGCAGCCACAAGTCGAAAAAAACAATATCAAGATATATATATATATATATATATATATATATATATATATATTTCAGACATTTCAGCAAGAAAACTTGTACAAATTTCTATGTTCCTTTGCAATTATTAAGTTTACGGTCTAGTTTTAATTCAGTGGAAGCTAACTACATTCAAATAAAACCCACAACTGTCTACAACAAAATTAAAACTCAGCAAACAACAAATAGCAGATTCAGTCGATGAAATAACAAAATTAAAATACCTTTTATGTTATAATACTAAATCAAAATACTTCATACCGTCTTGGAACAGATATGTTTAGTTTTTTCTGCAATATTTGCTATTAGGGAACCAGATATATTGTATTTTAAATTATTATATTGCTTAAATGCACTCAGTACTTCGGATTTACACTTTATGAAATATTTTGTGACGTTTATTGCTGATGCATCGCGTTGGTGTGAAGTTATTTCATAAAGTGTAAATCCGAAGTACTGAGTGCATTTAAGCAATATAAAATGTATGTAGAAAACAAAACTGGACACAAGATTAAAGCTTTGCAGACAGATAATGGCAGAGAATATTGTAATAATGAATTCAATAATTTTTTAAATAATAATGGTATCAAAAGACGGCTTACTTCACCGTATACGCCTCAACAAAATGGTGTAGCCGAAAGGAAGAACCGGACATTGATAGAAATGGCACGTTGCATGTTAAAGCAAGCGGGGGCACCACAACGGTTTTGGGCTGAGGCTGTTTGCAATGCCAATTACACTAGAAACAGATGTCCAACAAGTGCACTAGATGGATGTATACCATATACGGTATGGACTGGAAAAATTCCAAATTTAGGTTATTTACAAATATTTGGATCAAAAGCATATGTTTTGATTAAAAATGGAAATATCAAAGGAAAATTTGATTCGAGATCTAAACCTGGAATCTTTGTTGGTTATTCGAATAATGCTAAGGCTTATCGAATATATATACCGGGAAGCAATAAGATAATTGAGAGCAGAGACGTTAGATTCTTGAACTATTCTGGATTTAATAATGAATATAGTGAGATATATAGTGAAAATGGTTATGATGTATATTTAAAATTGGGAAATGTCGAGCAAAATACAAACCATGAAAGACCAGCACAGCAGCAATCAAAACGTGGAAAAGGGCGTCCTAGGATTATTCGGACAGGTCATGCGGGAAGGCCGCGAAAAGAATATCAAATAAATAAAGAGATGATCGAAGATACATTAGGAGAATCCTCTGGAGAAGGGGAGGTTGATGAAGGGATTTCAAACGAAAACAATGTGATTAGTGAAAAATGTGAAATATTTGAAAATGCTTTTAATATATCCAAAATTAATATTACGACTTGGGAACAAGCTAGTCAGCTAGGTGATGCTGACGAATGGAGGAAAGCGTTAGAAGACGAGTACCTTGCGCAAATCAAAAATATGTCATGGGATATAGTTGAGCGACCCACACAAAAGAAAGTTATTGGAAACAGATTTGTTTTTACAACAAAATTAGATGGAGAACCTAATAGAAAAAAGGTGCGGTTAGTTGCAAAAGGATGTTCACAAAAATATGGTGAAGATTTTTGTGAGACATATTCTCCGGTGGCACGATCAACTTCTATTAGACTATTGGCAGCATTATCTGCGGAAATGGGTTTAGAAATTCATCAAATGGATGTCGTAACTGCATATTTAAATAGAGAACTTGAAGAAAAAGTCTACATGAATCTGCCAGAACAATTACATGAAGTATTATATAAAATTGTGAATAAGAAACCATTGGGTACCATTCAAAAACCGGCTACTGAGAAAATTAGAGATACAGCGAAGACCTGGCTGAGAAATATTGAGAAAAGCCTAGATCCCGTATGTTTATTGAAGAAAGCACTATATGGATTACGTCAATCAGGTATTCAATGGCACAAAAAATTTGTAACAAAATTGCAGACAATGGGATTCAAAGCAATGTCGCAAGACCCATGTTTGTTCATGTGCAATAAAACAGGAAAACATACATTGATAGTTATCTATGTTGATGATTTATTAATTGCTTCAAATGATAAAGATTGGTTAAATGAAATTAAACTATCTTTATCTGAATGTTTTGAGATGAGAGATTTAGGCAAAGTAGATAGATGTCTTGGAATTGAATTCAAACAGGAAAATGGATTTGTATATTTTGAAACAACGTTCTTATGCAGAAAATATACTAAATCGCTTTAATATGGAAAATTGTAAAATAGTATCAACACCATGCGAGGTTAGACTCCAACTGATTAAACCTAAGGAACCCAATGAATACATCATGCAAAAGTATCCTTATCAATCTTTAATAGGGGCATTAATGTATTTGGCAGTAACTACAAGACCAGATATTGCCTATGCAGTAAATTATTTAAGTCAATTTAATACCAATTATGATACAACACATTGGAACGCAGCAAAGAGAGTATTACGGTACCTGAAGGTACATTGAATTATGGATTGAAATATAAGAAAACAAATCAAAATTTATTTGGAATTGCAGACGCAGATTGGGGAGGTAACATAGTTGACTATAAATCATATTCGGGATTTTGCTTCATATTTGCAGGTGCGCCTATCAGTTGGGAAGCGCGAAAACAGAAAATAGTAGCTCAATCAACAACGGAAGCTGAATATATAGCTTTGAGTGAGGCAACAAGGGAAGCTATATATTTGAACGAATTATTGAAGACTCTAGATATAGGAAGTGAAACGGTTACAATATATAATGACAGCCAGAGTGCTATAGAACTTGTAAAAAACAATAGGTTCAATCCACGAACGAAGCATATCGGATTAAAATATCACAAGGTACGTGATGAATATATTAATAAGAAAATTAATATTCAATTTCTATGCAGCAAACAGATGCCAGCAGATATGCTTACTAAAAGTTTGACTAGAAATAAACACGAAGAGTGTCTGAGGAGAATGGATGGACTGCAAATAGTATAATAAATATAATTTTGAGGGGAGGTGTTAGAATACAAAATTATATATATAGAATGCGGACCTGATGAGGATATCTATCTAGGAGTGAAAGAGGAGGTATCTCCATCATGGTATAAAAGAAAGAAGTTTCAACAAAATCATTCTATTTCGACTGCCTGCCCAAAGGAATAATATACTTTGTATTATTGTATAAATGGAATACTGTTATGTAAATATTATCAAGTAATAAATTTTATTTTACCATTAACATTATTATATTTTAAATTATTATTATATTATAAGTCTAAGGTAAGCTATCATCTTGGTTCTAAACATTTTAAAAATCATAATAATAATCATGATCTTGACAGGTTTTAGCTGTCAATGTTATGAAGCCAAAACTTTTGAACTTGACAGCTAATTTCTTTCGGCGGCAACTTCATGCTGGCTGAAATGTGATGTGACATGACATGATTGAGTTAGCAAATGACGAGCGAATTGAAGAAGCAAAGCTTTAAGCTATTATTATATTGTGTAGGAGTGAGTCCACGAGTTTCCGTAATATAATTAGAATTTGTGTATAAAAGCCGGAGTTTTTATATTTGTGACTATTTGTATCAGAATTCTGATAAAGATATCTTTCCACAAAATATTGAATTATCGGAATTCATAAGTTTGTTTGTATTACAAATAAAGTTGTTTTATTATTAAAGTTATTCACTATGTCTGGTAAGTTTGAAAATATCAATAAATGCGTCATTCCCACTGCTAGAACAAGTGAAACGTGGCGTCAAAAGCACTTAAATAATTTAAAAATGGCGAAGATTAACCACTATGTTATTCTCACTGGAGACTCCCTTATTGAAAACTTGGTCAAGCATCCCGTTTGGGCCAAATTTCAACAATTTCATGCCGCCATTTTTCTTTTAGGTGAAAGATGTAGAGATTTAAAGTTTCAGAAATAGCAAATGATCGTGAGCCATGTCGAGATCTTTTACGAAATAGTCTATTTTATAAAGAAGGATTATTAATAACCGAAAGAAGGATTTATTAATCGTTTTTTCCTCCCAGGTTTCTTAAATTATGTAGTGGACAGGTATATTCCAATTATACCTTTGTGGTCAGGTCTAATGTTAGATAATGACAGAAAACATTTGTATTCAAATGCTGCTGTCGAATCATTTTTCAATACATTAAATAACAATATCTGCCATCGTGAAGAATATGTGAAAGCAGGACATTCCGTGGAGAAATTGAGAGGTATGTTGCGCCTTGCTAATAATGATTTAATAAATAAATGCCCTGTAACACAGAAACTTAATCGTTAGAAAAGCAACAAAAGTTACAATAGAAAAAAAAAAAGAAGAAATGCAAGTCAGGAGAAGTTAGGCATGGTAAACAATATTAAAAAAATGAAAAAAAGCAACACAGTAAATAAAGTAACTAAAAAATTAAATGAGGACCATAACACCACGACAGTAGGATATTAGAGATGCAAAGGAAACAGTGAACAAAAAATCTAATAATCCGTCAATTTTTACCGATGTAGGAAAAATGCTTTTCCTTTGCATAAAAAACCAGACTCAAATAACTCTGCTGACTCTAGTACAATAACGTACAACAATAACGTAGCTATAGATTTTCATTTCTATATAAAACCCTTCATGTATAATATGGAAATATTGTATACTATAGGATTTTTTGGTAAACATGCCATTAAATTGAATATTTTTTTTTACTTTATATGGAAATGAGTCGTTAGATGACAATCATTGACTATTACTTAGCATAAATTGAATATGATAGCAACGAATTCAAAATTTTAAGTGTTCATGAATATGATCATATTATAATTATAATAATGATAACTTTGTTATAAAATTATCATCAGGTTTAAAAATACCTAGTGCCACGTAATAATTATAACCGTTGGCTCTTAGTTTTAATGGATACGATAAACAATTCACTGTTATTACTTCTTGCATAAATCCTTTAAAGGACTATTTTAGTCAATTTCGGAAAGCTGCTTAACTTACAAGAAAGATTCCATTAAATTACACGTTTTCATAAAGTAATTTCTCCCAAACAAATCGATAGTTATAGTTGAGGGCAATCAAAAATGCATACTGTTTATTAAATAACAATGTAGCATGTTAAATATCTAGCTAAAAACATCCCAGTGCGGCCATGCTAAGTACACAGTGTCGCGACAAGTAACGGTATACGAGTATGTGCACTTGTCACTAGTAGTTGTAGGCGCACCGAGACGCATCGAGGCACAATGAGAGGGTAGTTCG